TAATAATCCCATTCCCAATCTGCATATCTTCATTTTAAAAGTGTAATCCTAGATTAAATCATAATACTTGGGCTGGCTGAAGTTAGGGACAAACCAATCTAAAGTGTGTACACTGTAGGCAGAGGTGGGCAGTGGCATATTGTGCACGACCAAGAATACAGTTTTGAAAGTTATGCATACAAAATAAATTCATTTTCCAAAATTGGCTGTGCAAAATGTGGCTGCATGACTCACTTGGTTGAACCTGAAAATTTGCGTTATCACAATATTGAATCAAGTTTTAGTCCGCAGCAATCACAGCACAGTGAGAACCCTGACAGGTCAAACCTTAATCCATTAAAAATAATTTTGGGGATCTCTTTGAATTCCAATTTATGTCTTAGTCCATTTTAATGAAGCCTTCCATGTGATGCCATCAATCTTCTATCAGAACCCAGAACAGATCCTCCAAATGCTGGTTTGGTGTTCCTGGATTTATTTGCATTGTTAGAAACAAATGTTATTTCTACCAATCAAGTTATATTCAGTTGTGTTTTTAACTTTGTCAAAAGATGTGACTAAATCCCAAACAGGTCTTTGTTAAAACTCAAGTGAAAATAATTTGAAATAAATGTTTGTCTCTTTTGCATAAGAAAAATATGTGTCCAAAGAAGATACGGTTATCATTTAGTTTTATCAAATAGCTTCCATGTGAAAATATGTTGTAGGGATTCTTTACTTTGATCTGGCAGCAAATAATTCAACCATAAAAATAGGATTTTTTTAAACAGTCATCTCTGAGTTGATCCATCAGGATCCAACTCTGAGAGGCTCGGAGATCCAGGGTCCTGATTTTTACAGATGTTTTCCACCAGAGTGTGCCGGCTTTAAACTTACATACAGTTTGATGTGTTAAGTATTCTGCACTTTCTATAAGTGTCATTTTAGGCAGAAGTAAGTGAAGAAAACTCTGCTGTTTTCAGCTCTATCTGGTTTAAACTCCCCTGTTTCTCTGCTACACCCTGATTACGGTTAAACTCAACCTCTAGCTGTTTACTTATTGGAAAACAAAAACAATGTTATATCTTACAGTTGAGATTGATGTTTAACATTAATAAAYGTTTTTAAAGGAACTGAAATACTGTATGTTTTAAGGGCCAACAAATCAATAAATTTTTCTGTTGAAGGATTGCAGCAGCAGCAGGAGGAGGATGGAGTCATTTAACATTCATCTCAGCTTCCACTGTCTGACTGTCTTGCAGTTTTTATTTATGCTCGTTTGAAGAAAAATCCCAACTCCTCAGAGACTGAGAACATATTGCGACTGCAACATCTGTATCTTACTGAGGATAGATTTGTTGACCTAATGTGAGATTTAAAAGAAAAACAGCCAACATCGAGCTTATATAATGGCCTCTCAGGGGAGACATTTTCAGTTTTTATCAGCACAGCTGCTTCACAAACCATCAGGAGAGTTGTTCAGTTTGTAACGTTTGCATACATGCCAACCCCTTTACAGTTACCTGTAATTTTCACAAAAAACCTGTAGTACTCACACAGGGTGCAGGCGGACTGTCTGCTGCAGAGAACATGAGGCAGGGATAACCGTCTGCAGCACAGGAGCAGGGAAAGGAGGACATGGAGAGATGGAGAAGTTATTTCTAGTGGCTGACGGGGTTGGGAGATGATTATTTAGACGAAAATAAATCTGAAGCTGGGTTTTTGGAGAAAAAAATATACGTGAGATTGTCCTAGAAGTTCATATACTTGCAAAAAGAGGGAAAATCTGTAATTTGCAGACAATCCATACAAGTTGACATGTATGCATCTGTTCTTCCTCTGTCATCAGCCTCTGTCTGACCAAAAAGGTCCAGGCACACTTTTTAGTTCAACATGAAAGAGATTGTTAGTTCTTTTTTTTAAAGTTTGGTTTTGAGGAGGAATTTTTGCAGTCACTATCTTACCTGCAGCAATCTGTTTGGAGAATCCAAGATAAATTCTTGATGAGGAGAGCTAAAGGCTAATAAAAATGGGTCCAGTTTAAAAAAATCTGTTTTGCCATCACAAAGTGATAGTTCAGCCATACTGAAGTGTGTTTTTGTGTAAAAGATAAAATTTACAATATCTTAGCCATTCTGGAAAGCTTCTTAGACGAGCTTCTCTGGAGAAACAGAGTTTCTGTCCAGCAGGTCTGATGCTAACACTTAGGCTAACTGTAGCTAAGACCAAATGAATTGCTGCCATTTAAAACTCCATCCTTAAAACTTATACAGCTAAGATTGTATAAAGCTGTAAATTATTTCAAAATACTCTTTTATATATATATATATATATA